GATCCTTGCCCAGTTATCCCTCCTCCTCTAACCTTGCATGTGCCAATGCTCTGCCCCAGGGTCCCCCTGGTCAGAAAGAAGTCCTTGAGGAAGAACCTGATTGAGAAGGGCTTGCTGAAGGACTACCTGAAGACTCACACCCTCAACCTGGCCACCAAGTACTTGCCCAAAGCTGCCTTCGACTCAGTGCCCACTGAGACCCTGGAGAACTACCTGGATGTGAGTGCATGGGCAGGGGGAAGGGGCAGCCACAAGGACTGAGCCAGGAGGAGAGAGGGTGTCTGGGGGGAATGGATGACAGCCAACGACTGCTCCCTGGATCTCAGCAGCCCAGAGCTGTCAGAAAAACTCCAATCACAATTTTCGCTCTCACTTGTTCTTCATTCAATTGTTTATTCTTTGAATGCTTATTTATACTGAGTGCTCTGCTATGTGTTAGGTTGGGACCAGAAGGCAGCACTGAGAAATGTAATACAGTAGGAGAGAAAGACAACCTCACTGAGCCTCACTACCTAGTGAGAAATGAAACTAGGATGAGGGGCACCAAGTGAGGGTTCATTTGCTGAGTGAGTGGCTCCTGTAGGAGAGGGAGGTCTCCTGGGAGCTGTGAAGGAGGAACAGGAATTTCTAAGAGCAGGGAGGGAATTCCAGAGAACATGAGGACTCCTGCTAACCCATGCCCAGAGGGAGCCAAGTGCATTTGAAGGAGGAAGAAGAGGGTATGAGAGAAAGACACAGTGGGAAGGATGGTGGTGCCAAGTGAGGCCGAGGGGCTATGGGTGGGGAAGACCACTAAGAGGCCAGGTTTGACTTGGCCTGGACCCTAAATGCAACAGATTGATCTGAATCACTGGAGTGGTATGATCAGGTTTGAGTCTCAGAACCTCTCTGACTCTCTCATTTGGAACCCAATGGCCAGCCCTACAGTAGACACTGTGTGTCTTCCCTATGAATAGCACATGGCCAAGGGCACAAAGCAGCCTTTCCTATGGTCAATGGCTAGGCCTGTGAGATCTACCAAACCTTCTGCAAAGGGGGGCTGTAATGCCTGCAGGCCTGGAGATCTTGGGCAACTTGTTCACATTCTCTGAGCCTCAGAACAGATCCACTAATGGCCACCATCCTCAGGTAGTTGCAAGTCATTAACACAATAGAGCTTCTGGGCGTGCTTAGCATAGGCTTGGCTGGCCCTTGGTAGAGCTCAGAAATATCAGTCCATTTGTCCATTTCACAAATGTTTACGAAGACCTGTGAAGGGCCAGAGGCTCGGCATATGCTGGGAACAGTAACTAGAGCCAACCAAGTCTAGGGACAGAAACAAGTATGTGAGATGAACTCAGGCCATGAGAGGGGACACAAAGCATAACTATTAATTATTTAACTAACCAGTGGGAAGAAGAAAAGTTGGGGAGGGGGAAATTTGGATAATGTGATCAGAGAAAGTTTCTTGGTAGAGGTGACATTGGATGAGAGCTCTGAATGAGGAATAAGGAGTCAGCCAAGAGAAGATCCAGAGGGGGGAAAAAAAAAAAACACATTTTCCTAGCACAATGAATACCCAGAGAAAAAGCCCTGGGATGGAGCTCGTGGTTGTCTGAGAACAGTACAAAGCCAGGGTGACTGCAGTAGAGATGGTAAGGAGGAAAGTGTGACACTGAGAATAAAAATACTAATAGACCCTTTTCTTGAAATTTGCTGTTCACAACAAGGTTTAGAAATTAGTTCCAATGTTGAAGTGACTTGTATGTCTCCTGATCAGCGGGTTAATGATCTGGCTGGGTGTCACTGTTTATACCCCATCCTCTGAGAAGGTGTGCTCTCCAGGAGGGCGAGACTGACAGGCTGAGCACCAGCTGAGAGGCCAGCAGATAAGCCTTGGAAGCAAACGTGCTAGGAGGTTAACGGTCAGAGGCAACCAGGGAGCCTAGAAGACTTCAAGGAGCAGTGGAGACCAGAGCTGGGCTTTGAAGGAGGGTATACTTGGTGGGGCATAGGGGGAAGTGAGAAAAAGGAAGGAGAAGATAGAGTTGGATTTAGGAGCTGTTCTGGGGAGAGGCCCAGATGGGGAATTGCAGGTCCTTGAGCTGTGCTGTCCTGACCCCTGCAGACCGAGTACTTTGGCACCATCAGCATCGGAACCCCCCCTCAGGACTTCACCGTCATCTTTGACACCGGCTCCTCCAACCTGTGGGTGCCCTCTGTCTACTGCTCCAGTGCTGCCTGCAGTGAGTGCCTGCCATGCCCAGCCCATTTTGCCCCTTGCTGCCCAGCAACAGCTGATGCTGGGTGCCCTGACCACTCAGTGACTTCTCTCAGTTCCAATTTCAACCCTATAGGAATCACTCAGGGATTCAACCAAAAGGCCTTGTCCAGGAAGCTACTAGGAGTAAAGCACCGGGCACAGATGCTCTTGGAGATAAAGGAGTGACTTGGAAGTGGTTGGATGGACTCACAGAGGAGAACACTCGTAGAAGCCCAAAGCAAGGCAGGAACGAAGTGCTCCAGGCCCACCAGCCATGCTGAGTCCCATGTGACACAGTGGGCTTAAAGCTGAGCTGGGACAGGCTGGAGACGAGTGAGGAGCTCATTAAAATACACACAGAAAATTCATTGCCTTGCTAATGAAAGGACTGTGTGATTGGAAATTACCATAATTTTTCAAGCTCCATGCTCTTCCAGGTTTTGTACTTCCATTTTAATTAATAGGAGGTGCCTATGGAATCAGTGGTGCCCTAACTGGAGCCCTGGCTGTGCAGGGGGGCTGTGACAGCACTCAGCACCATGGGCAGCCAGGCTGCTGCACCCAGCGCTTGTCTGGGGGACCTCGGGAGGGCATGAGGTAGGCTGTGACTGTCCACCAGTGAGGTGGTGCTGACTGCCAAAAAGTTGGTATTGGAACCTGTGGAATCTTGACCTTCAAAGGTCATCTTAAAGATCATTCTGGGGCAGAGGTCATCTTTCTCCTCCATAGTCCAGGAAGACATGCCCATCCGACCACCCTTGCTTGCCCTCTGGAAGTTAATGATGTCACTCCTTGCCTTTGCAGGCGTCCACAATCAGTTCAACCCTGAGGACTCCTCCACCTTCCAGGCCACCAGCGAGTCTCTCTCCATCACCTATGGCACTGGCAGCATGACAGGCTTCCTGGGATACGACACTGTGAACGTGAGCATCCACCTAGGGGCTCTGCCCCCTACACTGCCCAACCCTGGGGCCAGTTTCCAAGGATTTGGGTGAACACAGTGAATGTCCCAAAGCAAGCTCATCCTAACAGTATGAATCTCAGAGATCTCACAAGCAACCTAACAGTCAGTGCAGGGATCAATATGACAGAGCTGTCACACACATTCTGGGGGTGAAGCCCTATGTGCGTAAGGGAGTGGTGTTGACTCTACAGCCAACCTTAAGGCTGAATGTCAAGGAGGAGGCAAGGAAAGGGACACAAGTGCTCAGTTCTCTTTTAGCATCTCCCTCTCTTTCCCCTCTTCCCTCAAGTCACAGGAGCTCCTCAAATCTCCAGGGCACGGCAGGGGTCTAGGGCCCTAATTTGCTGGAGTCTGTTTCACATCTACTCAATCTGAAAGGCAAATGCACACTGACCATTCATTCTGCATCAGTATGTTACAGTGAATCACACACTGTGGCCATGGACAGTAGTTCTGTCCAGTGGGGAGCCACAAGCATTCTAGGGAACAGTCCCTCTCCCTGCCTTCCAGCCTGAGGCCCCGGAAACTGAGTCCTCCAGGAAATGAAGCAGGATCGCTTTGGGTCCAGGGCTGGAGCCCAGCAATGAATAGGTGCCCATAAAGGATATCTTCACTGTCATTCCCTCCTACACAGGTTGGGAACATCGAGGACACCAACCAGATCTTTGGGCTGAGTGAGTCAGAGCCTGGCTCCTTCCTGTACTATGCTCCCTTCGATGGCATCCTGGGTCTGGCCTACCCCAGCATTTCTGCCTCTGATGCCACACCCGTCTTTGACAACATGTGGAACGAGGGCCTGGTGTCTGAGGACCTCTTCTCCGTCTACCTGAGCTCGTAGGTTGGCTAGCCTGGGGCCTCTCCCACATGGACCATTTTCACCTGGCCCAGCAAGGGACTTATCCAGGGCTGGATGGGCTGGATAGGATCTTACAAGAAAGAGATTTTTGAAGTCAATGTCCAAGTCCAGAAAAGTACATCTATGGCCAGTAACATTGCCAAATCTCTCCTCTCCTCTCCTCTCCTCTCCTCTCCTCTCCTCTCCTCCCCTCCCCTCCCCTCCCCTCCCTTCTAACTGCACAGCTGTGTGAATTTCAGCAAGCTGCCTTATTTCTCTGAGCCACAGTGTCTTATAACATGAAAATAATAAAACGGACCACTGTGTGGACTTGGTATTACATGAAAAGAACCCACACCAGTCACACATTCAGTATAGCTCCTGGCACTGAAAAGTATCCCATCAAGGGTAGCTCTTAGGCTGTACATAGCAGATGTGCAACGTGAATGAGTGAATTCCTGTCTTCCACCCCTCCTTTTTCCACAGTGATGATGACAGTGGCAGTGTTGTGATGTTTGGTGGCATTGATTCGTCTTACTACACAGGAAGTCTGAACTGGGTGCCTGTTTCTTATGAGGGCTACTGGCAGATCACCGTGGACAGGTGAGACCATATTGGTTCATGGCATCCTGGCCTGAACCATGATCCCATTTCACTGTGGATCTGCTATCCTGATCTGCCTAGAACAGCCAGCACAGGAGGAAGCTGGATGGTCAAGTCACAGAGAGCCCAGAAAGGCACCTCACTTGAAGGGGAACAGAGAGGGCTATCCAGGAGCCCAGCTCATTGACAAGGATGGGACTGATGCTTCCTTGTGGTCCAAGGAGGCATTTCAGAACACCTGGGGAAGACAGTTAGCAAACCTGCCTGTCCATACCTCTCAGCATTTAGGGAACCTGGAAAGCAGCACACAGTATGTAGCAAGACTGTTACTGGTAGTCTAGGATAAAGGCAAAATGTCGCAGACCAAGCATGTCCTGGCCCTTTGAAGCTGGCTTCCAAGTTGTTCTGCCCCTGCAGAGGGTCCAACTAGGTCATATGTATAACCCCTGGGGACTCAGGGGACCCTTCCTTGTATTGCCCACTCAGCATCACCATGGATGGAGAGACCATCGCTTGTGCTGATGGCTGCCAGGCCATCGTGGACACGGGCACCTCTCTGCTGGCTGGCCCCACCAGCGCCATTTCCAACATCCAGAGCTACATTGGAGCCTCTGAGAACTCTGATGGCGAGGCAAGTCCAGCCCCAAATGCTCTCTTCTAGACTCAGGTGGTGGGAGTACCATGAGCAAGGAATGAACCCCTTCTAACCCCCACACTCACACCTTCCAGATGATCGTCAGCTGCTCATCCATGTACTCCCTGCCCAACATTGTCTTCACCATCAATGGAGTCCAGTACCCTGTGCCCGCCAGTGCCTACATCCTGGAGGTAAGGGAGCACTCGACCAGCTGATGGATGAGGCCTCACACAAAGTGACTGCACACTGCTCTCTGAAAAAAGAATTCACAGCTGAAGCCAAGAGGCAGACTGACACCTGTTCTTCATGGCCTACAGACACAGAGAGTATATTCACAAGAGAACAAGAATGGATGATGCCTCTAGAAAAAAGAGAGGCAAAAACTGATGGTGTGAAAAGGGAATTCTCAGCCGGCGCCGTGGCTCAATAGGCTAATCCTCCACCTTGCGGCACCGGCACACCGGGTTCTAGTCCCGGTTGGGGCGCCGGATTCTGTCCCGGTTGCCCCTCTTCCAGGCCAGCTCTCTGCTATGGCCAGGGAGTGCAGTGGAGGATGGCCCAGGTGCTTGGGCCCTGCACCCCATGGGAGACCAGGAAAAGCACCTGGCTCCTGGCTCCTGCCATCGGATCAGCGCGGTGCGCCGGCTGCAGCGGCGGCCATTGGAGGGTGAACCAACGGCAAAAGGAAGACCTTTCTCTCTGTCTCTCTCTCTCACTGTCCACTCTGCCTGTAAAAAAAAAAAGAAAAAGAAAAGGGAATTCTCTCCATTTAGACCTGTGTCAGAGCCCTCGGTCTCAATGTCTTGCCCATCAATTCTGAGCAGGGTGCAACCTCTCTCAGCATGTGCCTCATCTAAAATCAGAGGTGTCAGCTCAACACCTTTAGTCTAATAACCCACAGGAAGCCCCTTATTTCCTACTATATGGCCAGGTGCAAAACCAGTTTTTCCCAATGGGTTGACCTTACTCAGCAAGAAGTACTAACACCTGGTGCTCTCCCTACATGAGTGTAGTCTGCAACCAGGGCTGAGCCCGGTAACCCAGGGAAAAGGAAGAACCCACAGCCGCCCAGTGTGACAGTGGCCACAATGGGAATAATGAGAAGTGGCTTCAGGGATTCTAAATCTCCTTCCAGGGCTGAGGTCAGGGCTCCTCTGTCTGACAGTCAGAAGATAATGCCCAGCAATCCAGGCACAACAAGAGTGCAGGGAGCACTTCTGCAGGCTGACCCCAACACAGCAACAGCCACATCCCTGGACACTGAGCCAGGTAGACCCTCTTTGCACAGGACTTGCAGCCAGACCAGGGATCTCTTAATGGTTATCACTCAGCACCTGTAACCCCCACCCTGTTCTCCATCTCTCATGCTATTCTCTGTACTGCAGGAGGATGATGCTTGCATTAGCGGCTTCGAGGGCATGAACCTTGACACCTACACTGGCGAGCTCTGGATCCTGGGTGACGTCTTCATCCGCCAGTACTTCACCGTCTTCGACCGTGCCAACAATCAGCTGGGCCTGGCTGCCGCAGCTTAAGCACACAGCTTTGAAACCACTTGCAGAAAGATTTGGCCTCAGTCCTGCACCACCATTGGTGGACAGAATTTTCCTGATTGTTCTTCCTGAAACACAGTCACCTTCCAACAGAAGTAGATACTTGGCCCTGTTCCCATTCACACCCATAACACAGAATAAAAATAGCTGATAAAAATAGGTTTGTGGCTCCTTCTCCTAACTAGAATGTCTCCTCCCATTGCTGGGGTCATAACACCAGGCAGACAAGCAGAAATGAACACGCCCACTAGGACAGCACCAAACACAGTGACATTTCATAACAGGCCAGAAGCAATCAGAGAGAGAGGCAGCATAAGAACACAAAACACTGAATGGGTGATCGGGAAACACACTGTTGGGTGCATTCAAAAGCAGGAATGATTCTAGGGGGAAAAAAACATTGAAAGGCTGGTTGCAAATTCTGTAAATAGGTTAAAAACTACAGAATCATACACTCCAATGTGTAAATGGTATTGCATAGGAATTCTATCTCAGGAAAGCTGTTCTCTATACACATTTTTTTAATTAATTAGAGGAAAACAGTTCAAATTCTATGTCAATAAAAAGCTGTTTCTCCCTAAAAGGAACTCTTATTAGGAAGAGGCATGTAGCAAATACAGCCTAAGTAGTGTATGCCAGGAAAAGGAGCTGGGCTCTGTCAGTCCCCTCTTTGGATCTCAGTTTCCCCACATGGAGGCAGGAGAGCAGAGTACAAGAGAGCACAGGGTCAGGAATAAGAAAGAGAGAGATCCAGGTTTCAGTCCAAAACCATCAGCTAGAGACTGAACTTAACTGAGCCTCTATGTGCCCACCAACAAAACAGAGAGAGCAGCAGAAGCCATGGCCAAACACTACTGTGAGCTTGTGAGTGAGATAATACAGGTAAAATGCTTGATACAGGGGCAGGCGTTGTGGCACAGCAGGTGGAGCAGCCCGCTGCGGTGCCAGCACTGGGCACAGGTTAGAAGCCCAGCTTCTCCACCTCTGCTCTAACTACCTGCTAATGCAGCTGGGAAGGCAACAGAGGATGGCCCAGGACCTTGGGCCTGAGCCCCTGACCCACATGGGAGACCCAGAAGAAGCTCTTCTGGCTCCTGGCTCCTGGCTTTGGCCTGGCCCAGCCTCAGTCATTGAAGCCATTTGGGAGTGGACCAGCAAATGGAAAACCTCTTTCTCTGTCTCTACCTCTGAATTTCAAATAAACAAATATTTTTTACAATACTCAGCACACCCCAGGACATCAACTCGAGAGCTCCAGGGCAATGACAGCAGCCAGACTGCAGAGGACTGTGCACCAGTCAAAATGAAGCAAAATCTATAAAGTGCTCAACTCTTAACCTCATGGGTTTCTGGGCTCAGTGGGTGTCCCCAGCCCAATACCACTATCAGTAGTCCATCACCCGCAGAGCTGCAGAATTGCACACAGATAAAGCACACCTTGCAAAGGTCAAGGGAGTTTAACAGACAAATTTTCTAAAGGAAATTTCAGCCTTGAATCAATGAAAAATTTCATTTTCCTAAAAGTTTACAAACTGTAAAATCAGCCACAATGAAGGTACTTTATGCACACAGTAAATGAGAAAAGCTGAAATCCTAAGCATACAGTGTGCTGGGGACAAGGAGAAGCAGCACCAACCCAGAAGTTTGCTCTTCCCTAGGACACAACCTGGGACTGTGCTGCAGGCTCACAGAACTGCTCCTTCCCCCTGACAGTCACTCCCAGGGCCCACACAGTCCAGGTGAACGCATGCAGTTCCTCACCTTCCGACCCTCACAGTTTCAGTCTGCAGAGGCACAGGACACAGCAGCCTATAAGAGCCATGGCCTATCCAGGAGCAGGAGCATTGGATAGGGGCAGCTGATCTTTTTTGTTTGTTTGTTTTTTGTTTTGTTTTGTTTTGTTTTTGACAGGCAGAGTGGGCAGTGAGTGAGAGAGAGAGAGACAGAGAGAAAGGTCTTCCTTTTGCCGTTGGTTCACCCCACAATGGCCGCTGCGGCTGGCGCGCTGTGGCCAGCGCACCACACTGATCCGAAGGCAGGAGCCAGGTGCTTCCCCTGGTCTCCCATGGGGTGCAGGACCCAAGCACTTGGGCTATCCTCCACTGTACTCCCGGGCCATAGCAGAGAGCTGGACTGGAAGAGGGGCAACCGGGACAGAATCTGGCACTCTGACCAGGACTAGAACCCGGTGTGCCGGCGCCGCAGGTGGAGGATTAGCCTAATGAGCCTCGGCGCCGGTGGGGCAGCTGATCTTAATCTGGTCTCATTCACCTCAGCACACTGGGTAGCACTCCCTGTCAGTGTGGAAAGGGTAAGGACAGTCTAAGTCACTGAGACCAGCTGCAGGTCACAGAAAATGCACAAGCCCTTGCTGATGGCAGCTGGTGGACATTCAGGACAGCACAGATCATGGAGCCACTGGGTGCCTGTCAGAGCAGCCAATGTCAGGGGACAGCCATGCAGTGTGGAGGGCATCAGTAAGTGAGATCCATCCTCCCACAGGCACACAGGCCCCACGAGGGCAGGGGCCAGGCCTTGTCTGTGAGGCCTCTTGTCAGCAGGTGCCTGTGAAATAAATGCATGAACTCTCCAGGAAAGGTGAGTACAAAACACCCAGGAGCACATGCTCCCACGTAGGATCTCTGTCCTTAATGTGTTTTACTATGAGAGTTAAAGATAACACTACTAGTCGAACAGTACTCTGTATCTTCTGCAGGTGTGTGGGTGCAGTCTGTTGAAATCTTTGCTTAATATATACTAAGTTGATCTTCTGTATATAAAGATAATTGAAAATGAAATTTGATGAAGAGTGGGATGGGAGAGGGGGTGGGAGATGGGAGGGCTGCCGGAGGGAGGGAGGTTGGGGGGAGCCACAACAATGCAAAAGTTGCACTTTGTAAATTCACATTTATTAAATAAAAATAATAAATAAATAAATAAATAAATAAATAAATAAAACACCCAGGAGAAAGTAGTACCCAGAAGCAAATCTCCCCAAAGCATTTGGCTGAGAACAAACAGGGCCAACATGCAGCAGGTCCCTCAGAGGTCACATGCATATGTGCCCTGAATTTCTCAGTCTGTCTTGGACCTGTCCCTTTCCACAAATGGATCAATGAAATGGATGCAGCTGACACTCAAGATACCCAGAGAAGTGGGGCATTTGCAGTACCAGTTTCACTACCACGGGGAACAAGTATCTGTTTTCATCTTCCTATTCTAAATTACACTGCTGCTTGCCATGCTTTTTCACTCTAAGAGGGAGTCCAGTTTAGGGCTCAAAAACATGTGATGCGTCTTCCATAATTCATGGAGTTGAGCAGCTGTTTGAGTCTTGATTGTTCTGCTTCTGACTCTCTTTCATGTTTATGCATCTGAGAAAGCAGCACATGATGGCCCAAGTGCTTGAACCCTATAGCCCATGTGGGAGACCTGGATAGCACTCAGCACCCACTTTGACCTAGCCACAAACCAACAGTGAATTGGATCTCAATATCTGTGTGTGTGTGTGTGTGTGTGCGTGTGTGTTTCAAACAAATAAATAATAAAAGCTACAAGATTTCTCCTTAAAACTACTGGAATGGCTAAAATTAAAATGACTGACACACCAAGTGTCGATGAGTCTGTGGAGCAACTGGAACTCCCATACATGGTAGGTGGGATAATTAAATGACACATCACTTTGGAAAACTGTGTAGTGGTTTCTACTAAAGCTACACAAATGCCTCCACTATGACTCAGCAACTCCATTCTTGGGTATATTCCAAATAAAAGCACACACATATGTGTTCCAAAAGACATACATATACTAGAGTGTTCAATATGAACCCCGCTTGAAACTTCCCAACTACCCTTACTTACATTGAAGAAGAGATCAGTTATATATTCTCACAGTAGAATAACACACCACAAGAAAAATAACCAACTTACAACTCACACACCAGAGACAAATACCACAATCTGAGCAAAGAAGCAAGACACAGAAGCACTTGTCATACAGTGTCGTTTATCTACAGCACAAAACCAGGCAAAGTGAATGCATGCTGTGTGAAGTTAGAGCGGTTGTATTCTTGGTCCAGGGGGCAGTTATTGACTGGAAAGAGCCTGAGGGAGCTTTGGGGCACTTGTAGTGCTTGCTCTCTCTAGACTGTGGCTGCTGCTGCCATGGTGAGCACATGGTTGTCCCTCAGAGCCCAAGCAGAAGTTTAGTCCTCAGGCTCATGAATTAATGATATTAAATGGGTGGAAATTTCATCCAATTCTGGTTTTTACAGTGGGGCCTTTGGGAAGTGATGGAATAAATTGGGTCATTAGAGTGGAGCTTCACCACTGAATCCTAGCAACTTCATAAGAAGAGGAGAGAGGCCGGTGCTGTGGCCTAGTGGGTAAAGCCTCCACCTGTGCTGCCAGCATCCCATACGGGCACCCGTTTGAATCCTGGCTGCTCCACTTCTGACCAAGTTCCCTGCTAATGGCCTGGGAAAAGCAGCAAAAGAGGGCCCACATACTTGGGCCTCTGCATCTACATGGGATACTTGAATGAAGCTCCTGGCTCCTTGTTTCAGATCAGCCCAGCTCTGGCCATTGCTGCCATCTGGGGAGTAAAGCAGCAGATGGAAGTGTTTCTCTCTCTCTCTCTCTCCTCTCTCCTCTCTCCTCTCTCTCTCTAACTCTGCCTTTCAAATAAATAAGTAAATTTTTAGAAGGAGGAGGAAGAGGAGAAATCTGCAGACATGCATACTCCCTGCCCTAGTCATGCAGTCCCCTGGGCCAACTCCGGCTTCAGCCAGCAAATACTCCATCTCCAGGGATTATACTGGGAAAACTGCCCAATCTTAGACTGTGATTCTCCAGAAGCACGAGCCCACATGAAGCTCTTTTCTGAATAAAATGAGCCTGCCCATGATATTTTTCTGCTGTAACAGCAATCTGACTCATGGATGTGCAGAGTATGTGAAAATCTATCAAGTTATTCCTTTGTGATATGCACCTTTCTCTATGTGCATATTATGTTTCAAGAAAAGTTTAGGGTATGGCGATGTGGCACAGTGGGTTAAGCTGCTTCCTGATATGCCATAAAGCCAATTTAAGCATTGGTTCAAGTCCCAGCTGTGCTGCTTAAATTCAGTTCCCTACTAACATACCTGGTAAAGTAGTGGAGGATGGCCAAAATACGTGGGACCTTGCTACCCACTGTGGAGACTCGGGTAGAGTTTCTGCTCCTGGATCAGTCTGGACCAGCCTGGGATACTGTGGCCACATGGAGAGCAAACCAGTGGACTGAAGATCATTCTCTCTCTACCCCTCCCTCCTTCACTGTCACTCTGCCATTCAAAGAATAAATACTTTGTACAAATAAATAAAAGCTTAAAGGTTGACATAGACTTATATGAAACCACTTGTGTCTCTCTCATGATCTCTCTCTCAACCACCCTCTCTGTTACTCTCTTACCCTCTCCCCCCACCCCAGCCCATCGGGTTTCCTCTACCTGACAATAAAC